TACGATCGACATACGCATATACTCATAATAATATTTCTATGCTGATTTCGAGTACTCCGACTCTTGGTTGACTAATCTACCTATGTATTCGTCTTACGAGAGTACTATACGGACCTCATTATCAATCATAGCTCGGTTATAACTATTACCATATTTTTAATAAAGTACGTTGCCCAACACTAGAATTTTCTGTTGAGTCGTGGGTCTGTTTACAAACATACAATTTCACTTTCACATGATGTACACAGACCCGAAACAATAATGTGTCGAAACGCAGATATGCGCCCATCGAACAGTCATATTAATATACTTTTTCATAGTTAAATGTACCTAGTACACGTTGATTCATAAATCTAATGATTTATAAATCAATAGTCTTAACATTTCACCTCATGCAAACATTTTAAATAATGTCAATCTTATTTCGAACAGCACAGTTACTTCTCTAATAGTTTATGCTTGAAGAGAATATGTGGCACGTGTAAATATATCTTCAGATCAGGAACAGATAATGCTAAAGCGTGGCTCACACATGACATAGGTAATTGGAATTATATGCAGTCTACCGTTCAGTGCCTACGATGAATTGAAATAAAATTATTATATCATCTTGTCTGCTCTAACACTCAGATATGACATAGCTCGTGTAGGAATGGCACTTACTCCCATTTCAAAATATTAATGTTCAACTGCTGTGCTACCGAAGCAGCTAGTAGAACCTTGTAACAGAATAATTTAAGCACAATCAGAGATATGTAGGTACCTCAATATTCAAGCTCATCTGCAAATTATTATGTTACCTACAATCCGTAAATACTTAATCGTCTAACAGCTGAGAGAGGTCATCGGATAATATAAAGACAAACAGTTATAATGAAGTTTTAATACCTTATTTCGCACTCGTGATTCTGTTACCTAGGTAATAAATCTCACGGGAGATGGATATAGCTGTTTAATTCACTAGTGTTTTTTGAATTTAGAATTAGCACATTTCATTGAAGGCTAATTTCTGTACTGCATTGTTACCTATTTAAAGAAATCTAAAAATAAATATGTGTACTATATAACTACCAAAAGTATTAGGTCATGCGTAAGGTAGGTACCTTATGTCACTGAATAAGAAAGAACCATTAGTTCCAAGGTAGGCAATGTACTCTTTGGAGAAGGATTGATTAATATTTTTGCTAGGTATAATGTTACTGGGAAGGAAATATACAATGTTGAAGAAATACTTTGTTCAGATGCTTGGCTTTCATGGATACCAGACTAACAGAGGGATTAGTAAACCATCACATATAGCAATAAAAAAAACGAAAAATAGAAAAGTAAATACCTGCTCTCCGATAAGAACCGATTGTGTTTTAGTTAAACGTTTACAAGTATTGTTTTATGGAGCTGCGTCATATTGTCAACACTGGCACAAACTTCGATAGTAATTTCTAGTTCTTTAAGTGGCTTTCAGACCTTTGACCCTTATCTAAAATCAGCTCACTACCCAGAGTAGTTTGTGAATTAATAATTATAATATTCGACCTTGTGGATGGGAGTCTGGTACTTTGTCGCTTCGGTGAGCCAGGTAGCCGTGGAAATTAACTGTTTCGCTTCACTGCTGTCATTATTATGTGTACGATATATCGATTACTGTATGGCTCTTTATGTCAGTTGTTACTTTTTTTTTAAAGGGATGGGATGGCTATATGTAGATTATCAAATGGTAAGCAATCGGCGCAGCTTGTGAATGAGACCCGTTGCAAATGTGTTATCAGCATTAGAGATTAGAGGATTTAGGAATTGGGGATAGGATGTCTTCCCGAATATATTGTAAGAGGCGACTAGTAGTGCATGGTTCCAAATATTAGACAGGCAATATAAAGCAGACCAAATTCAATTTAAATGTTTAATTATATACACAGGCTTCTAGAAAACAGCTCTTTATGTATGTATAAGAATATCCACTCCCTCTTCAGGATTCTGTGTTGTCAGAACATAAATCCGTTAGGTTAGAAAGAAATAGGAGCCTTAGCCACCCGGCCATCGGAAGCGGAGCCGAGCCGGTCTGCGGTCGGCGAGTAAGGGCAGCTCGCCGCCCGACCAGAACCAGAGCCGAGCGTACGGCGCGTAGGGTTCCGCGCGCGCCTCAAAGAGCCAAAAGACCACCACAGACGGGGCCCTATAGGGCTGATGTTCAGCTATGGTTGCGGGGTAAGCGCAATGAGGCACCGCGACTTCGGCCCAGAGCAGGAGAAGGAACAGGGGGGTTTTTAGTCAGTAAGAGTCTGACACTCCCTCCCGCCCGGCCCTGGGCGGGAGAGGTCATTTGATGATTTTCCCCTCACAAAAAAGCCACTTATAGTGTGCTGATATACATAATTTTACTTTTACTATTAATTTTATTTTTTAGTTATAATAAATTAAATAAACACCAGTTTTAACACAATAAATATAGGTATGTATTGAATTCGATATGGTTATATAAAATTGTGTATCATTTTTTGTTTAAGATAGCACAGTGATTTGTCCTCGATGTTAATTTCAAGGGTCATTTTCATCGTTGGATTACAAGAAATTTCATTAGTGCTATTCTGTCTGTGTTCAGTTTTCTTGTCTTATATTATTTGATTCTGCTACGCGTTTAAGACTGAATTACTCAAAGGTATTTTTCGTGAAACGCACATTTCAGACTTTGCTCCGTATTTGCATTGAATTATTTTGTTTTGTCGGTCTCAGTAGTAAGTCTGTTTAGTTATTTTGTAGGACAAATAAAAATAAACATACTAAACATTCGCATTCGTAATACATGGGCAGTGGGCAGGTTTTAGCTTCTGATATCAATCGCAATACTGATGAAGTATTCATATGTGATTATGAGCGAAACATTTTCCATAGCTCAATAGCCAAAATATAATATTACAAAGGTATTTTCCTCTTTCACGGCACTGGCGGTATTTTCTAAATACACAAGTTATTTTTCGCGACTTCGTTAGTGCATAAAGATACTCTAGTATTGTAACGCATTCCCGTAGGTAATGTGTGAAATGCTTTCTTAGCTCTGTTCAACAATTCCCGAGAAACCTGCATGCTTTCAGGTTTTTACGACCCGTTGTACGTTTGTACGTGTCAGTCAGTCACTCGGTCATTCAATCTCTACACCACTCCTCTATCTGCTAGATAGATTTGAAATAATTGAACCAAAATTCTTCATCTAGTAAACAAATATACCAGACAATATTATGTTGATTTTAGAGACGGGCCATCAGTCAACGCCAAATGATGGATGCTTTTTAAAAATTGATATACATAATTAATGATTTGCTTTTTAAAAATATGTATGAAGGTTTTTAATCTAACATCGCTACAATTTGAATGCTAAAAAAGAAATGGGTCTCGTTTTAGTAAACATTATTTGATTAATCTATAGATTAGTATAGATAGTATTAGTATAGTATAGATACTAATATTATAAAGAGGTAAAATTTGTAAAGTTTGTAAGTTTGTACGTAGGGGGTAATCTTTGGAACCGTTGGTCGCCAAAATTCTTTCACTGATTGATAGCTACAGTGTTCCTGGGTGCTATATATAGGCTATAAAACATCACGCTACGATCAAATGGAGCTGAGCAGCCGGTGAAACCGCGCGAGAGTAGCTAGTTTATCTTATAAAGTAGCAATCCGCGCGAATAGCAAAGTCTACTGCCTAAATACTAAACTTGAACTATCCAGTCTAAATAGTAGACTGTGTTATATTTTATTGCTTATTTATGTTCGTTTATAAAGTTTAACTCGTCTATTATTCATCAGCGAAATTGTTTAGATCAATATTTATTGCTTTTCCACGTGTACTCATTAGTTTAAACCAAAAGTTATCTAACGAGAGTAGCCTTATCTGGGTGATAACCCACTTTTGATTCTCTGAAGATGTAGGTCTAGTTGTTATTATTCATGAGGGTAGTGCTATATTAGGGAAAGTATATTTCCAGGTATTCTCGATCCCAAATTACCAATTGGTTCTCAGCGGGACAGGTAACGTTTACTCATTACATTTAGGTAATTTAAATCATATTTTTGGCGTTTAGGTATTTTTATCAGGTATATTATATGCTAAGCCTTTCGTCAAAGTGTATAATGGTCATATTCTGGACTCTGGTTACGACATTACGGAAAATTTTTAAATCTGTCGAAAACATACGAGCGATATTAATTATGGTGCCCCCTCAGCCTACGCACTCACCATAAGGAATGAGAATAAATGATTTGAGTATGTTGGTTGCTTACAGATATTCGATATTAGTTTTTCCTACTGTTCTGCTGCTAAGCAAAAGCTTACTCTAATGCGGAGGAGAACTGGTCAAATTTATAAATGTTCACGTGGTAAATTGCTTTCTGAAGTTTTTAGGCATCGGCTATCATTGTTTATACCCACGTCTTGTTACACGTTCTCATGATAAAAAAATCACCAAGATTTTAGCTCTAGAACAATTAAAAGTGACGTTGATAAATTTCTGCGTAAAATAGTATGTAAATTTTTTAAACTAGGTTTGATTTAAATAATACTTATGGTCTTTGTAATTTCTTAAGCGTGCATTACGAGTAATACCACAAATTAGACATTAGAAAAATATTTTATCATAAATTCTAAAGAGTATAGGAGCACCTACTCTAAATATTTAGAATTGGTGTACTCTAAATAAGAGGACCGGGTGTGCAGGTAATGCGTTTTGGAGATGGATATATGGTTCTATATGAGGCAGTGACACGCTTTTGTTGTTTATTACCCACGCAACGGAGACAGTATTTGTGTTCAGGATGAGCGACCGTTTGTGTAAAATACTTCAATTTATCTTCAAAACCATTAGGGCGATTTTAATGCGGTTTTCGGTGGTTCTATTAAATGTCCATGCTGCATGTTCTTCGATAGTTGTTACAATAAAACCTCCCAATGTGGCGTTGCAGTAGATACATAATAATAAGTCATACAATGTAAAAAGTGCAGTATGTAAATACCTTTCAGTAGCTCCAGGTGTGAAGAATCTGACGACTGCGTAAACTAGCACGATGGCCAGCGAACCTCCCCATCCGAGAATGACGAACCATCGCATGGCCACTTCATCCTTCACGAACACCTGCACCACATTTCCATTAGCTCATATTCATAACACAGGTAAATAACAGTAAACACACACAGGAAAGACTGTAATAAAACTGTTCATTTTTGTTTAAAGTTTTATGTTAAATTATTAAGCTTTACTATACTAATATTATAAACAGGTAAAATTTGTAGGTTTGTTTGTGGGGGGTAATGTTTGGAACCGCTGGTCGGATGGCCAAAATTTTTTCACAAAATTTTTAAATAGCTACAATATTCCTGTGTACTATAGGCTATAAAACATTACGCTACGATCAAATTGACCCGAAGCAGCGGGTAAACCGCTCAAAGGTAGCAGTTGTTGATAAGGAAGTAATTGTTCGCTTTTGGACGACTTTTAAACGCTACTACGACTAACAAACTCGTTCCTGAATGTTATTAAACTTAGAAGTACAATATTTCAATAAGGTATTTTTTTTAAAAATTGTCACAAGCTAGGTCACCCTCAGTCGTGGATGCGTTTACTAACATACACATTCACATATACAAGCTACCCAGACCCGAAACAATGATTTGTGGATTGTCTATGAGTGAACACAAATTGTTGTTCTGTGCGGGAATCAAAGCACGTTGTACAGCAGCCAGTTGCCCAGATATTGTGCCAACCGTTCATTCTAAAACCGTTCAGTACGAGTATAACTAAATGAAAAGTACTACACACATTTTTAAAATGTTTAACATCAAAATATTGTGAAATAGGTTAAGCCATTTAGTACTGCTAGTCGCCATAAACACACAAAAGATTTATAATTTCCTGAATATGGTTTTATACTTTAATAAATCACCACAACTATTAATATTAATAATGTATTGTTTGGTCTATGCTAAAATACGTTATACTGAGAAATATAGTATACTTGCTATTTTCGCGCGGTTTTACCCGCTGCTCGGCTCTCACAAAACGAAGCGTCATGTTTTATAGCCTTTAGCCTTCCTCAATAAATGGACCAAGAAACCCAAAAATAATTGTTCATTTCGAGCCAGTAGTTTCGGAGATTAGCATGTTCAAACAAAGAAACAAAAACAAACTTTATAATAATATATAATATAGTATAGATTACGTAAATCATTATCACTTCCAATTTTTAAAAATGTGACCGTCGCTGGTGGGTAAATAAAATTTATATTATTTTCACTAGAGCAAAAAACCACCGTGCTTATAAAAGTGTAGGTTACATTTTTAATAAAAACTTCACTAGTGTTCTTTCTCCATTCAAACTTTATCTTTGGCAAATCTCACTCTTCCACGCGGGTAATCCTTAAAAGGGAAACAAAGTTTTCTCTGCACGTCCGTATAGTGTGTAGACACGATGTTTATAGGTGAGTCAAGTGCTTGTCTGAATGATACTCTACGGCTTAAAACCAATGTATTAAAAAACTCTAATGAAGAATTTTCTTATTTATTTGTGGCCACTGAATGACCAAATCCGCAATCAAGACATTAAGTAGGTACCTGTACGACCGAGCCTTGTTCAATATTCTTAACATTCTTTTGCTGAAAATGATACCTAGCAAGCCTTGACATACAAAATTTTATCGAAATCATTAGTGCTATTCCCGAGATGATATTATAAATATATACTTAAACACAAGAATTGCTCGTTTATATAGTTTATATATTTTGGATATAGTTGTCACACACATATGTCTATACAAAAATAAGTATATGGAAACTATATTAATGCTTTCACAAAAGGGTTTCATAATGTTACTGGCGGTCACAAACAGTCTCTTAGACAACATATTCATATATTATGTATGTACATACGCCCGCAATATCTGTAAGCTTCGCGTAAACAGGAAATATTAAAATAAGAGTAAAACGGTGGTGTAATATTTTTCTCGAACTTTCGAACTATCGTCGGCAACTATCGGGGCGTCGAACGAAGTTAGTGGCGCGAATTATTCGTTCAAGTTCGAAAATAACCCTTTACGCGTAACATTTGGTGTCATAACATACACGCCTTCTTTTCATAAAAGGTGCACATTCAAAGTGACAACCACTTAGCGGCTGTTTTGTTATGGCATCCATTTAACAGAGGATGAGTTGCTATACTTTGATCCTAATGCCAGGCGCTGTGCCTATCCAGAGCGTCTGAAGATCAAAAAAATAAGGTCGTATCGTACTACTATGGTAAGCCTAATTTTATGATCGGTTAAAACTCTTGCAATTTATTTGTCTTTCGGACCTAAAATCACTGCTGCTGCTATTAGTTAAGAGCGTATACCCACGACTTCGTCTGCGTAAAATTAGATTATCTCTATCGCGCGGAAACAATAGGTATATTCTTTCGACATTAAAATAATTGTTCTAAAATAAAAGTAGCCTGAGTAACTCATTAAGACATTAGCTAGGTAGCTGATGTGTAGATCTACCTACCGATAAGAGTCCGGTCAAAATCGGTATAGCTATTCCAAAGATAAGACCGAACAAATGAGACACTTCAATTTTACTTATTACAGATATATAGATGTTTAGTTGTATATAGTATCTATATGACTCAACTAACAAGGAAACCAACATTTATTATTTAAGGACGCGTAAGACACAGTTCTTATACCATAACTTATAACGGTTTTGGCTACCCTCCAGTGTTTGGAAGGGTGGCATTATAAGGTCCCATATTCAAAGCAACGAACTCATCATGATATCGTACAGTATTATAGTATGTTCCATTTCCTTATGTAAGTCAAGGTCTTACTTGATGAGTAGGCCTAAGAATTATGTAAACAAGGTCCATAAAGCCACGCTATTTTAGCGAATAGTGGAACATGAACTTGGGATTATTCTCTGCTGTAGGAAAGAATAAAAAAAACTTCTAGTAGCATTTTGTAGGAAAGCATTCCACATTATGAATCTCATAAACGTCGCGAAGTCAACCTAGATTTTTTGTTTCGAATGTTAAATTTAAGTAACAAAGCATGTTGAAACTTTAAGTGTTTAGTAATTTTCCCGCCACTGTAAGCGCGTATCTGTCGACTAGAACCAGCAGAGTCGAGCGTACGGAGTGTAGATTCCGTTCTTAAAGAGCCAATAGACCATTAAGGTCGATCTTTCGCCGAAGTTGCGACCTCGGCCTGGAGAAGGACAAGGCACTTTATAGTCAGTAAGAGTCTAACAGTCATTGACGCCTTACTCTGGGCAAGAGAAGTCATTTGATGACAATCCGCTCACAAAAAAAATATTTAGCAACTACGTATGTGCAAGTAGAACCGAAAATGAGTTTAATATTCTACCCAAGTTTGATATTAACAGCGACTAAAGCGAAAGTAGACTAAAAGCGCAAAGGAACAACATCTTCAACTACGACATACATACATATAATATAGATAGATCCTCATGTGTCCTTTCTAAATACAAACCGGATTTATATTGTCCGTATTTGCAGATCCTCTCGAGAATTCTCACACTACGTGACATTTTCATAGAGCAACTTTGAAATTTTGTTTGCAGCAGTCATAGTGTTTACTGAACGGGATATTAAACGGCCTTCCGAACGGAGTTATTACTGAAACATTTCAGTTAAGCCTACGAATGGACCGATGTATAATGAAATTGCGTTTAATTGTTAGATTTCAATGCCACCATCGTTAATTGTTGTGCAGAGATATTTTCTGTCTAACGGTGTCTTGATAAATTCTGTTTAATTAATTAGAGTACCTACTTTATAAAGTGGAAATTAGTACCTACTGGCGTAAGTAACAATTAATACTGAACATTTTAGGTTCATATTTGATTGTGATTTCTGGTGAGATATGCCGCAATGAAGTCGGTATTTTGTCTTATTTTACTGTTACGTTATTATTACTTACTAGGGCTAACTAACTGTTTAGTTCCCGGTGACATACATATGTATTTACTCACCACAACGAGAGCTATGTGTAGATGAAGTCCCTCACAGAACATCCAGAGATAACTGGTCACCATAAAGTAGTTCGTTATCACGTGAAGGACTTGACACCATTCCTGCAACATAATATTTATGTAAAACTCTTGTTAGTCGTAAAGTTCTTACATTTAAGGTTGGAAATAATTAATTGTTTTGGTAGTTTTTTCTAAATTAAATTTATTATTGTGGACGATCGTATGTTGTCTTCCTTAGAAACAAGAACATAGTAAATCCAAAGGCATTTCGATTAGAAGCAGATGTAGACAGCGATAGACGGTGGACTTATAACAAATTAAGGTTACAGGTTTGATCTCTGACATGAAGAATTTATAAGTACCAACACGATAGTATAAGATCTGCACGTCGATTCTATAAAATTTGTTTGATTTTGAATCTTGTTCGAGTGTGAAGTGAGCGTCGAAGTGACGGAGAAATTACATTTTATAATGTCACTTTTAACGTCATCTCATACTTTATCAGTCAAAATGTTGCTGTCAATTTAGTTCAACTCGCAAGTGTAGCGCTAGTACTACTCACGGCGGATTCAGATTCGAAGTTTAGAATGAAGTCTTACAGAATCACACTGCTGAATCCAACACCATAACAACATTGCACAAAATAGGTTTCCATAAATCCAATTAGAATTTTGTCGTTCGTTTAAACAACTGTGAAATTGTTCAGCTAATGTTTACGAAAACAAACAAAGAATGAAATATAAATTGGGATTCTGTTTGGATAGGTAATTTGAATTTTTATGCCAATTTCTAAAAGACGGAAATCCAATGCAAAGAGAAGGGTGATTTTTAACCAAAGTGCTTATAAATACTTCCGCAATATTCTCAAATATTTTTTTGGATCGACCAAAATTAGACGCCAAATGTTGACAGTCCATAACATTGGGAAAAATAATGTATTATTATTGTTATTGTACATTGATATTTTATTATCGGTCTCGCTTTTAATTCAGCTATGTGTGCCATGTTGTTGTACAACTTCCAGTACATAAACTAAGTTTTTTTTCTCTTGTGTTTGGACATATTCTCTTCAAATGATAAGGGGTGACGCGATCTCAATGGAGCGCTACTCACTCGGTCCTCGAAGACTCCGAATAGGACCTTAACACGTAACTTGCGCTTGGTTTAAATTAAGTAATACTTCGCCTCAACCTCGACAAGACGCTAAACTTCTTACCGGTTGGTAATAGTTGCGGAATGAATAAGTAATTTTTGCTTTGTACCTTCATTATTTTTTGTTTCATGTGTGATCCATTTTGCTGCCAATTGTTTGGGATTAGAATGTGGTCGGTATTCATTCACATCAATACGAATATTTTTCAATCAGTTTTTAGAGCACACATTATTTTCATTGAATAATAGCTATATTTTGTTTTATGAGAGAATTAGTTCATTTACGCGTCAGTTTAACAGATGGTAGTGTAAACTTCTAGATGTGACGCCTAACTATACTATCAAAATTCTGTTACATAGTAGATCTTTCGTAACCCAAGGTTCGTGTAAAGCTTACATATGTTTAGCTGCCTATCAAAAACATAATAAAATAATGACACAAGAATCATTCGATTTAAAGTTAGGCTTGATGACATTTGGTGACTAGCCATGTACAAATGTTACATTGTATAGGACATACTTACTGTGTTTTCCTGTACGACGCTGACCCTGTTCACGACCGCTCGGTACCAGATGATCCAGAGGATATTGTTTAGAGCGAATGAGATGAAGAGATGCACGTGAATACGGATTCGTGTGCATTGAAGTACTCTGTATAAAGAAAAAATCAAATTAGTTCCTCTAGTATGATAAAGGTTTTTTAATTGAACTTAGTACTACTTATAGTACTTAGTACTAGCTTATAAATTTTGAGTTTTCCGAAGGTTTATCAATTTTTTTAAAAAAATATCTGCCTACTTTACTTTCTCGTTGACCGAGCGGTCACAAGAGCGGTTACCGAGCAAGGGTCTTTGCTTGTACTCCTGGGTCAGAAGGTCGAAACTTTCTCAGTAGCAACCAGAAGCTTGACTCGTGAAAAGTGGGTGCATATTGTAGTTTATTTAGGTTTGTGTTATTATATGCCGGTTTTTAGACATTTGCCTAAGAGCCTAGTGATGATTCACTTCTAAAAAAATAGCAGTAGAACAAGAGATGTATTAAAAAGGTTCTCAGTGTAAATACGTTAAATCAGATAACTGGCAGAGTTTGATGTAACATAGTACAATATATTGCGAGAGTTTGTATAAATATTAAATCGTACCCAGTTACCACATTGCTGAGTGTTTTAGTAGTAGTACGAATTGGGAAATACAGAACTATAATAAAACAATGCCAAATGCACATTCTTTGTTGCAATGTTTCGTGCAATTTTAATCTTTTTCCTCTGAACCGTAGAGGTGAATAATTAAAATGTTTTAGAACGGATCTCTCTTCTAGTGTGTTTTCCTTTTTCGTCCAACAATAGTTGGCAGTGATAGAGAGAAAATGTTTTAATGTTTGGCGCCATGTTCTTCGACAAAACAGAATAAGAAAATTCGATTCCATTTCAGAAGTCATTCTGCTGTAGAAATGGCTATTCTTAGTCTACTTCTTAGAAATTTTATTCTCTCACTTGTGTTTTACTGCATAGTGTTCATTGTTTTCCACATAGTCTCTGGTATGTAGGTACCAAGTAAGGTATCTGACGTCGGTTCAGTGTTGTCATCTACTTAAATTACATTGACATATGTGACGTACATATATACGTATATCTAAGTAAGTTTTTCTTTGTTTTACCCAAAGGTTGTTGTAAAACTTAGCTCGTGTTCTTAAATTTGTACTTAAAAATAAAAACAGTCACTTATTCAATATGGACGTCCTTAAAAGGCTATTGCGTAAAACATAACAAAATGCAAGGATGATTAAACATTAAAATAAAATAAAAATCATCTAAATTATTTGGAACACTTTTAAAACAGTTCTGGCGTGAATCTGGACAAGAAGAGTCTTTTAAGTTCCACTTTGAGAATATTATAGTATTCTGTGCTTTGAGCAAGCGTTAAACGTGGCGAAGTGTTTAGAAAATAACATTTTCCTTTACTGTACGGGAAAAGATAATACTAAAAGCATGTTTAACATCCTCTTTTCCATTTGATGGGATTTAAATATTATGAATGACCAATGAGCGTACACTCTTTATAAACAAAATTATTCTATAAAAGAAAAGTATCGTTACAACGCAAAATTACAGGCGTATTGTCGACGAGCTCTTGTTTCTATTAATAATAAGACCGCACTTTGCCTACCACTTTAAAAAATAAAAGGTATTTTTTATGTGATAGGTCGGCAAACGAACAGGCCCATTACCTGATGGTAAGCAATCAGCGCCGCCCATGGAAATCCACAACTGCGGGGATTAGGGATTGGGGGAGGGAAAGGATTGGGCCTCCGGTTACCTCACTCATACGGCGAAACACAACGCTGTAAAACGCTGTTTGAACTTGTATTGCGTAAAATTTCACAATACAGGAGATAGCAGCTTATTCATTCAGCTTATCTGTCCTACAGGGTGTTATAAAAATGTCCGAGCAGTCTAAAAATTTATGTTGCAATATCTCTTTTGGAGATAAGTTATTTATGACTACAAAATTACATTCACTTTTATGGTAACTACGCATGTAATTATCGTGCACTAGTTATGCATTTTATCATATTCATATTGTACGATTTACCATGACATATTCTCATCACCGTCTCGGTACCGGGCAGTATGTTTTACTCTGACCATGACTAAAATATCGAAAAAGAACTGGTGAAATTTTGCCGGATATTGACTCGTGATTGGATAAATCTAAAAACTGAGATTCAATGGATGGAAAAGTAGTAGTAGAAGGAGAGGATAAAAAAATAAGCTGGTAGTTAGCAGTCACGCTTAAAACCATTAAACCAAGAAGTGTATAATTTTGATACTATTAACTCAAACAGCGTTCTAACACTAGATCTGACTTGGTTCGAGTCGTTTTCGAAAGACCAGTAAACGCAAATGTGTGGTACGACTACAACAGTAGGTAAAGTTTTATAGGAAAATATTTAAGTAATGACTTTTCAAGCGCGAACAGATGTTTACACTTTAGATAAATGAAAATGTTACAATAAGAAAATATTTCTTACATCACTTTCCTAGTTCGTATGTATGATTGTATGGAAGATTTCTTAGGATGACAGAGTGAATATCTCAAGCTTTACGTACTCTTTATTGCTAAAATATATATGCTTTTAGCATAACATACGCTTATTCCGTGCTTACCCCGTTTATTGCTTAGCTTTGATAAGTATCGCGTTCTTCCGATTCGTTCTTATTTCTCAGTCTTTCTCTAAAGATAGGCCATTTAGCAAAATTGAATTGGATTTGGAATCTACTTTAATACGAATAAGGGAATGTCATCTGTATCTCTTTGTATTTGAGTACATCTTATGTTGAGACATTTTTATTATCCTGGCTTCTTCCCAACTTATATGCATATGAAGGTCGTCGAAGAAAGTTAAGATTTTTGAGGAATCTATACATATATTGTTATTTACCTTAACATTTCAAGAAGTTACATATTAAAATTTGCTTATTTTTAGCGTCAAGTTGTGTTTTGTAGCAAAGATTAATTCTTTAAAGGCAGTTATTTCCGCCATTTTGTTCAATGATCTGGATCAATGACATGCAAACGACGGATATAAACAAAGACGCCATCTCAGCGCTGGTGGTATAATTTAAAATTATCTACTTACGACAACTGTAGATTAAGACAAGTATCGACGAGAAGCACATATGTATATACATATAAAAGATGTATGTCAATATATACCAACACTGCCTTAAAAAGAACGTGTGTTCGTTGTTCTGGAGTTAGACAGCACTTCGATTATGTTGGATGTAATTCATCGGATAATGACAGTTCAGAAACTGAGAGTGCATAGCTGTGTACATTATCTTTTGTGGTTGAAATCGGTCTGAAGATATAATGATTGTATTACTTTTACGAAAGAACAACATTCTATGTAATCTGATGATCGAAATGATTGATGGTGACGGATGGATGGTTGGAGAAGTAAATACGATATAGCATTCGAGTAAGTATAGACTGTTTTATTATTTTTTGTTCCGCAGTGAAGCTTCGGTTAAGTTAACTCTATGAACTGAATTTCTAATGTTAATGTAACATTAAAAATTCAGTTCATAGTCGTAGTTAAAAATTAAAACTTGATTATACCGAACTCATTATGTGCTCGTATTACGTTGTTCACTTATTTTAACAAGTGGTCGCTGAGGTATTAAAGATATTTTCTGATCTATACGACATCTGGTTGAGTCATGCTGTTTAGTCCAGATTGCTTCTGACGTAGTAGAGCAATAGAGAATCTTAAGTGGGGGCTGCGGGGTAAGCGCAATAAGGTACCGCGGCCTCGTTCTGGACCAGGTGAACGAACGACGGGGTTTTTAGTCAGTAAGAGTCTGACACTCCCTCTCGCCATAACCCAGATGAAAGAAGAATATTAATAATTTTACTCACACCATACAAAAATAATAATATTGTTGCAACTTCTTTGTATCCTTTCAAGCATGAATTTGCAGAATATCTTTAAAAAAAATTATCAATGAAACAATCACAATCTAGAATTTTTGACTGACGTGATATTGTAGTGATCTTACCAATCATCAATGATAGAAGAAAGTGTTGCTAAATCAACCATTGAAATGTAGTATATGCAAGGGCTTCATCTAGTTTTTCACATATAAATTGACGTGTAAAAGTGCCGTTTTATGGCCTATTTGCAAAAATAAATTCATTGTTTCATTGTTTCAACGTTTAATTGAAAATATTTCGGGCGAACAGCTTGTTATAATCAAAACAAAATAATGTTTATTCAATAAAAGATGCACGCACTCATCTATTTAAGAAGTTTGCTGTTGAAATCATATGTAAATATCAATGGGCCGTGATGATTGGTAGATCTAATAAAATATTTTCTATTTCAAAAATGAATTTTGAATATTTTCCTTACTTCTTGAGTATTCTTTATAACTTCTGCAATTGTTTATTTTTCATAATTTAAATTTTATTTGTAATGTAATGAACATTTTCGAAAAAAACGTTGTCCTACACTACGATTTTCTCCTATGTCGTGGGTGCGTTTACAAACATACAAATTCACATGTCACATCGCACCCAGATCTGGAACAACAATTTGTGAATCACACAAAGAGTTGTTTCGTGCTGGAATCGAACCCGCGACACGTTGCACGGCAGCCAGTTGCCCAGCCACCGCACCAACCGCACAGTCAAACCGTGCATTATTGGTAAATTCAATACCGTGATGCATTTTATAAAAAATAAATCGATAAGTCTACAAAAATAATAATAACGGTCGTTCTCAAATTTTGCTTTCTTTGCCTATTTGTCGTATTATCACTGATTTGAATTAAATGCTTTCCAGTAGTGCTCTAGATTGCCCAAACATCTTACTTTCACATATTTGATTACTTCTTCATTCTTAAGTCAAATCAGTTTAAATAAAAATCATTTTTGTAACTAAGAAAGAGAACGGAAGACCTAACTAACTAAACAACTCATAATAATTATAATCTTTGGATTATAAGTAGTACGTATGGTTGTGTAAATTCTTGTTTAAGAAAGATACATAAGTTCTAATAAATTCCTCAATAACAAAAACACTTCATTTAAATTTAAACAATCATAAGATGGGAAGATGATAATTACTAGGGAAGCTCTTTTCCAAGACAGGTCAAAGTGTGTTTAGTAAATATTAACTTACCTAAAATATAAAAATATGAAGACGGAGATGAGCAGAGCAACCACAGACAGTGAGTATCCAATCACATAGATATTGTTCACGATGTTTCGGAACTGAAACAAAAAGGATCTATCAATGAAGTATATTTAAACATTTTTTTAGAATATAAATTATACAGTACAACTATAATGAATCTAAAACACTTTTGATCAACCGTACATATTTTTGGAATTCTTCTTTACACCTAGCCTACTTTTTGTCCTTTCTGAAAATGAACCTTTTAAAAAATAAGGACAAAAATGTGCATAACTTTTTATAAATTACAAACAACTCTAGTGTATAATATCATCTTAACCATTAACGTCTCAAAGGCGTACATTATATAAAAATAACTGAGGAAACTGAGACATTGCACGCATGAATCATAGTCGCGTGTATACAGGGTGTCGGCAAGTCGGCAGCAGTAAACAAAGAGCGCCATGATAGATGGCATACCACTGCCAGGCGACGAGTCTCGTCACTCGTCATACGCCGCCGATACGCCGCTAAAACGTCAGATTGTGTACACATATAATACTTTTAAACAAACACTAGAACTTTATTCTGTTTTACACGCACAGTTTTGCCCATGTGCACAGTCTGTGCTGTGGGTTTCAGCTGACAGCTTATTTTGTTGATTAGCTACGTAAGTTCATAAGTGCACGAATAAGATTGAGGACCATGCGGTTTCAGCTCCGATGACAGGACATTAATTTTAGAGATTCAATTACGAAATTCACACAGGACCTAATTAAGAAATTGAGCTCGATGTTACGCTGTACGCTAACCCTTTTGGTAAAGTTCCATGTGAATAGTACAATAGAATAATATTCGAGACTATATAAATTCTAAAGATAGGATCCTAAACTATAAATTGTAAGCATATAGCGTATTTCATTAAATGCAGCTTTCGGTACAGTCGAAAAGACAGCAATTGTACTTGTATAATAAATTTTATAAATCGACTTCAAAATTATAGATTACTTAAAAGTTTAGTTTATAAATACCTATAAAAGTATATTATATACATATTGTTTCTTAAAAATGTCACTTCATTTCAATATTGATATAAAATATTTGGGAAACGTAGAAAAGAGGTACTTTACTGCTGAATTAAATAATGCGTTTTATGATTTTCGGCGAAAAGCTGAACATGGTCTATAAAATCGTTGAGTCAGCAATCGGGTGTCGTTCGAGTGGACTTCAATAGTGAGGGGCGGCTTAGAAATGATACAGTTATCCGCACACGCATTGCTATTACCCTTTCAAGTTGGCATTTTATAGCATTTTTTTATGTTAGTTTTCCTAAAGGTCTGGGAATCATCAGCAAACCTAAACATAAAATTTGAAAATCTATCAATATAATTTCCATTTTTTGAGCTCCTATTTATCTAATCTAAACAAAAAGAAGATCTTTATTAAAATAGTGTTCCAAGTAAATGTAAATAACGTAAATAAATACAGAGAATGGTTAAACCAGGAAGTACTGGAGGAAAACCGTTAAAATACAGGCACGTTACAAGCTTGCTTGATTATTAAATGGTTCTTTAATAATAAGTGAACCATAACTGTGTATGTTGGAGTTTTTTCTTTTAGAATCCGTTTCATTTAAATAATTAATATTTAACCTCTTTTTTTAGAATGAAGGTTGATGGTGCAATAAAGTCGTTACCTACTTTAAATAAAATTGTAGGTCACATTTTAGGTGGTTGCATAAATCACAATATCTTTGGTACTAAACAAAATTAACCATTTTACTTTACTGATGTTGACATAACATCATCAGCCTATAAGTGCCTACTGCTGAGCAAAGGCTTCTTCTCACAATGAGAAGGTTTGAGCATTAATCACCACGCTTACTCAAAGCGGATTGGCGATTTCAAACTTATTATTAGAAATTAAAAGCCCAGGTTTCCCCACGATGTTTTCCTTCACCGTATGTCAGTGGTGTTTACATAATCATAGAAAGTAAATATAAGTCGGAACCCAAATGCCCTACCAAGATACTGATGTTCAAATACAGAATGTAGAAAAAAAATACTCTGTTACAAGATACAAGTAGCTTAAGTTCTTCACGATAACTAAAGTTCAAAGTCACGCAGTATAATTTATCATTCACTTCAATCAAAGGTTGTTTTTTTGGAAAGATTTGATTAGTTAACTTTGTTTTGTTTAGTGAAAAAAGTAGAGATTTTATTGAATTAAATTGAATGTTTTGGTTCTTCTTCATTTCTTCTAAAGGTAGATTATCGATCATCTCATTGTTTCCAAATATTTCATACTTAAAATTTGACTAATCTTTGGCATAGATGTAATTACAAAACTAGATCAATGGAACGGCTTATTAAAGACTTAGACCATTGAAAACAAAAACGTATTTTTAGTAATAATGTTTTGTAAATTATTTGTACTGGTTTTAGTGGTGGTAGTGGTGAATTTTCTGACCCAAATTGTATCTACGAGTAAAGAAAATTACTTTTTCTTATACTATCAGATGTTGTAAGTATTTCCTGCTTACTTTCCATCGGTTGAAGTGATTGATGAGTATAAGGTGGAAGAAGAAATGAAATTGGCTGCAGAATACGGTAGGGATAACGATGGTGTCATTAATTCGCAGACAATGAACTTTATTAGGATTTTATCGTGCGTTTTATAACCGGTTTCAAACAAATCAATGTAATTTAAGGGTTCAACCTTTTTTTTTGTTTGATTTAACTGAAGACTGTCTTGGTTCCAAGCATGTTATAGTAATATTTTTTAAGTAGACAAGTCAGTTTGAAATATGTATGTAAAGTATCCAGGATAAACTTATTTTTTTTAATTATTGAAGGTATTATTCTTTTTTAGGAGAGTCATTATATGAGCCATGATTCGCAACGAATGGAGTGATACCAGTAAACAAGTTTAATGTTATTTTAATTAACCCAGTTTAATTGTGATATTATTTTAAAGTAGAGATAATAAAAAATCTTATCGTAAAAAGAATAGTCGAATAGATACTTACATCAAGGTCATCGACATCAACGCAGGTTGTGTAGTTGGTCCAAGTTTTGTTGGCGTGAGGATGTACGAACCACGTACCGTTTTCTGTGCACCTAAAACAAATAATTAATTTATTAAAGTCATTTTATCAAGTACTGATGATTATTAAATTATATTCAGGGCAAACATAGCATTTTGGTCTTAATATAGGTACCATAAAAACTACTAAAGTACTGTAACTGTCTTGATTTTACCGGAGTTAGTCACGCATATGAAAGTTTTCTGAAATACTATATACTTAGAAAAAAGGGACAAGACACTTTAAGGTTACGTAATCAAGTTTAATACCCACACCGATATTTATTTTTCAAATGACGTCATTTATACCGCGTACATCAAGGGATTGGAACAGTTTGCCGGCTGCGGTCTTTCCGTCCAAATATAATTTAGGTGTCTTCAAGGCTAGAGTGAATAGGCTCTTAATAAACTATTGCGCCTTACCATCAACGATTGCATCACTGCTTACCATCAGGTGGGATCGCAGTCAAGCACTAATTTACAGAAAGTAAAAAAAAATTACCTATTTTTTCAGTAGACTGTTCACTAAGCCTTTGACTGCTGACAGAAAACTGTTGAAAGCAAATCCTCCGCTAACGGAGGTCACCGGTGACCCCCATGGCGTTTAACGTGTTAAGAAACTATAATACATGGTTAATCTTTGTATGTATCCTTCGTTTATAGACGAGACAAAATCATAGCCTAAAAACGTTCAGCTTTTTAAATTTGTAGTACCGGAGCCTACTGGTCTTGCGAGTCTTTTTTTCTAAAAATGCTGTTATTAAAACTAGACAAGTTAACGCTTCATCATCCGGGTATTTGGCAATAAAAATATATGAAGCGTTTCTTGTAGGAAATATGTATAGAAAACTTTCTAGTAACAACAAAATGATTGATGGGACTTAGTCTATCGATACAAGTAGTTGTGGTCATTAAGTATGGCTGCACATTAGCCTTTTTTCTTAAGAAAATGGATATGCATTTATACAGTATCGTGTTTTTGAAGGTTTTTATTATGATAGTTAAAAATTCAGTGATTTTGTGTCCACGTGTTGAAGAATGTTTCTAATTTCTTCGAAACTTTGCTTCTATAGTCCAATTAATGTCTTAGTCTTTACTATCCTTACTTTTCAGGACTTAAATAACTCCTTACGTATGACATAAATGTGACGAATTCAAACAATATTAATATTTTACAAGCAATGCCTGTGCAATAAAAGACTAAAATCCACTAAAGACAGTAAATAAAATTAGTCATATTCTTCTCTTAAGCATTTTTTTCATAGATCCTTAACTTCAGATTTTTCAGATATCGTATTACGTTACATCACGTTATAATAAGGATTAATGGTCATCCTTCGTTCATCAAATGTGAAAATTGTTGACTTTGGCTTTTTTGAGAATGGAAAATTATCATACGGCGTCTCTCACCTTAGGTGCGAACGATGGAAGCTCGCCGCCCGACCAGAACCAGACCCGAGTGTACGGCGTGTAGCGTTCCGCGCGCGCCTCAAAGAGCCAATAGACCACCACAGACGGGGCCCTATGGAGCTGACGACCGAGGGAATGAGAGACTCTTACTGACTAAAAACCACCCCGATCGTTCAACTGCTCCAGGCGGAGGTCGCGGTACATTACTGTGGTGGGCCCGAAACCCTAGCTGCTCGAGTTTAGTTGTAAGTTCGTTCGTGAGAGTACTTACATTGGGCACATAACTAGTAAAGTTGTTGAGTAGACGATTTATATATACTGATTACTTCTTCGATAACTATTTGCGAATGTAATAATCATAGGAATTTTGTATAAAGAAACGGATTACAAGAGAAACTAGACCACGAGTAAAATAAACTCGAACTAAACTTGTTGGAATTCTTGAGAAACTATCAAAATTGTACCAGAAATGTGTATGAGGATATCGATTTCGGGAAAAGTGAAACTCAACCAACTTTCTAATCCATTTAGGTTCTAAATAAATTCACACTAAACTTGTGACGTAAAAGTTGGTTCGCTGGATGATAGCGATATTGCTTTTTTTGCTAGCATTCATCTTTAGTCTTGACATTAATTTTTTTGCTGACAATACCTAGTAAGGATAGAATAATACGAATAATACCTCAAAGCAAAGCAATGCTCACTGCTCAGAGCACCCTGAAGAAGCAATATTATCTTTCAAAGTAGTCGTAGAAGCAGTTGACAGCTAGTTGTGATGAAGTAATTGGACTCAAAAGGTCACAAAGAATAAAGTCTCCATTAAAAACAACGCGGAGATCGTGCAGTTAGCGCAATAGTTGGGAACAATTCTTTGTGTAATCTACAAGTTGCTTTCTGGGTCTTTGTGTGACGTCTATATGTGTGTATAACGACATATAATTATGTTAGTTTATCTACTACGCAGTACCTAAAGTTTTTCAAAAAACCTTTGGTAGGTACCGATTACGTTCAATATTCAAGTCCCAACTTAGCATCTAAGGACAAGGAAAAAGGGTACTGTAACTAAATCTCGCGTTCCTAAGACCTTAGAGAAGGTTAAGGAATATTAGTGTAGCGGTAACCCCACTTTACCTCTAATGAGCACTGTCCTTTATTACCACAACCAAGGTTTTACCTACACTCAATTCCTTTGCCTGGATTCTAAACAGCGTAACTGCATTACAACTTGTGTTCATTTAATATTTTATTTCAACAACGTTTAAATCTATTTTATATTACAGCATTTAGATGTACGGTGAAGGTCAGACCCATAAAGTCGTTACTTTTGTTTTATTTATGACCTTTAAAAAATTGAACTTTATATAAAAGATGTTAAGCTGTAATGTCATTTGATGGTATATTTATAAACTCTGTTAAATATATTTTTGTTGGTTCTTTACAAACAAAATATACTTAGATTGATTAGGTATATAAGGCGTTGCGTGACAATGATTATTAGCTTTAGTATTCCGTTCTATAAAATGCAGCCCTGCACAATTACGCTTTGAATAATAAATAAAGGGTTAGTCGTAGACAAGTTGTACAATTTTGTATTGATTGACCTGTTCCGACATTGTAGCATGTTAGTACATTTGGCTAATAACGGGTTGATAGAACTCGCTCATGTTTGGGTATGAATGGATTATTCGAAAACTTGTTAAATGTCACTTACAAAGATCTACCATAGAGAAACACCGTCATTTATCCTCTACAGCCCACTGGGGACGACCAAACATTGTCGAGAACAACCAAAAAGTTTGGATATGGAGACAGTTTTGTATAGCCATCGGGTCACAGTTCACATGTTGATGTGAACAGTTCATGACACAGATACATTTATTACCCTCATATTAACCGATTGTTGTGGCTATCAGCGGAACGTGCCTATAAATAGACCATTTATTGTTTGAGTGGATAACTCGGCGAACTCTATATTTTTTCAAATTAACTTTGAAGTTCCAAAGTAGTAGTGACAGCCAAAAATTTAGTGTCATTTACAGAATAGGATATAAATTATAAAAAGAATTTATGTGTTGTGTGGTCTAATGTATCCTCTGTATCTATTTAAGCTATCTCTATGCCCATTCCAATAAGATTCGTACAGTAGACTTTTGCGTAGAGTAACAATCATCAAGTTAATCCATAGTGACAACCTATCGTGTTTATAACATTAGAACGATGAGTGAAACTTTAAACGCTTTTCTAAAATCTATAGTAAAATTAAAAAGAGAAAATGTATTATCGTTTGTCTATTACCATTAAATAAGCTCCAAAAATTAGAAAGTGATCTCTTCCGAGGGTAACATAGGACTTTCTATACCGATATTTTTCCAGGTTCAGGACCTATTCTATACAGATCTAAATTCTACGTGAGCAATACCGCGGTGAAAACCCAGTATTTTATTAAAGTAGGTCAAGTTTTAGAATTCAACACGGAATGAGACTTTTGTCGAAAATATTGAAAACTGAATCGCATACCAGAATTGTTGGCGTCCAGTGATTTTGAATTTCAATTTCCTTATTGTACAACTAGGATAGGGGTTTACCCATAAGAGGATGGAAAAGGTCGGGTGACTCGAAAGTATCTATTTATCTATAAACATATAATTTCATTAGCACTTTAAGTAAATATTGAAATATCCAAAGGTCGAATATAAAAAAAATATTTTTGTGTGTTGTTTGGCCTTGCGAATATAAATGCTGATTTCTAGTTCAATAATCGTTACCATTGAGGTCGTGAAATTCTCGATTTTGAATTGTTTTTTAAAACAGATTTTCAGCTTCTGCTACATATAATCATAGTCAGCACGGAACACTAAAACAAATGCATACTTGTATATACCTAAGGAACTTTAAGCCGTCGGAAGTAGCGGCGATGGTAAATTTAATAAAAAATATACTTTACTATAAAAATGGAATGCATTACTCAAGCATAGTGAATTTTATTTACTCCCAACTATAAAAAACCGAGTGCAGCCAATGTAGTAATTTTAAACGGAGCATTGAGCAAACGATTATCAACTTCGATACGAATAAAATACAGGCCTTAATGTTTATTTTACTATGCAGTATATTTTTGACTCTCTCTAAATAACCCTAGCGTTTCTATCAGGAATAATCATGATGCGAATTCTTGTGGAGAATTGATGATCGACTCAATTATGTGTATCAGTGGCGAGTGTAGACATTTTACGGTGTAGCTTTTAATTTTTTTATTTAGTAAGTATCAGTCTTTGAGTCTTTTTTTTTAGTAAGGCATTGGATAGTTTTTAGTTTTCCTGTCAAATAGAGTGCATTTCGCTTTACGTTTGCTAAAGCTGCAAGTACTGGTCCCTTGCTTATGCGATCAACTAGTTATAGAAACAATGAAACTATGAAACAATGAACTTATTTTTGCAAATATGCCATAAAACGGCACTTTTACACGTCAATTATATGTGAAAAACTAGATGAAGCCGGCATTTCATATCTGACTACTTTGAGAAGAAATGCCGAAACAAACTCAGAGTTCCGTCTCTTTTCAAGTCCAGACAATGTAAAAATAACATAATGTGAGAGAACTGTGCAAGTTAAGTCTTTTGAGGAA